GGAGGAGGAGGAGGAGGCAGAGGAGGAGGAGGAAGAGGAGGAGGAGGAGGAGGAGGAGGGGGAGGAGGAGGGGGAGGAGGAGGAGGAAGAGGACCAATGTAAGCCCAAGATTCATCAGCGATGTTGGAGTAAATCCTCCCTCCACGGCTTCTTCTTATAGGCCCCTACAAATGTTCATTGCCATTGATGGAACTTCCTCGTTGGAACACACCCGCTTGAAGACCCTGAAGCATACCAAAACAATGTTCTCGGGATTCCAACGCCACGGATCAGCCTGAGTGTTGCGTCTTGACGGTCCTGAATCGTGCCAGAGAATCAACGTAATCGTCGCACCCTAATCCCGAATCATTTCAAAACACCATTTCCGATACATTGATGATGGGAATCCGTGAAACTCTTGCAATATTTATAGCGAATGTGCGCGGCGCTCAGGCGAGAGTTACATGTTGATAACGACCCACCTTCAGTCCGTGAGACCCTTGCATTTTTTACAACGGACGTGCGCCGCGCTAAGGCGAGAGCCACATTTTGAAAACGACCCGCCCTCGATCCGTGAAGCTTTCACACTTGTTATAACGAATGTGCGCCGCGCTAAGGCGAGAGCCACGTTTCGAAAACGACCCGCCCTCGATCCGTGAAGCTCTTGCAAATGTTGAAAACAAATGTGCGCCGCGCTGAGGCGATAACCACATTTTGAAAACGACCCGCCCTCAACCCGTGAAGCTGTCACAATTATTTTCAAGCAAATGTGCGCCGCGCTAAGGCGAGAGCCACATTTTGAAAACGAGCCGCCCTCAATCTGTGAAACAAACTCCCATTTTTCAATCGAATGCGCGCCGCGCTAAGGCGAGAACACATTTTGAAAACGGCCCGCCCTCGATCCGTGAAACTTTTGCAAATGTTTAGAACGACTGTGAGCCGCGCTCAAGCGAGAGCCACATGTTGAAAACGACCCGCCCTCAATCCGCGAAGCTCTTGCCAATTTTTAAGCTTCAGAGTCATAGATGGTGAGGAAGTCTCAGGCGAAATGCCTGGCCTCGGCGTGCGAGTGGGAGAAGTTATTTATAAGGAAAAGGAATGGAGGAGGGAGGAGGAGGAGGAGGAGGAGGAGTGCTACTGTGTGCTGGCGGTCAGATGCTCTGGTTTTCTCGATCTGGTCAGGCATCATTCAACGTTGCCCTGCGAGTGGGGCCCTCTTGGCTGCTGCGCTCAACCCTATCATGCTTGACTTTCAACAGTGTTTCACTGACAAGTATCGGGGAGTGATCTTGGCCTGTGCTGACGATCTGGGGGCAGCAATCCTGAAGTTGAGATTTCTCACCGTCATATACGGTGTATTCCGTTTGGCCCAGCTGTTGGCCGCGCTCACTCTGAAGGTCTATAAATGCCGTATCATTCGTCTGGCTGGCGCTTTCTCCCCTGAGTTTGCTGACAAGTATGCTGCTGCGGTCGCGTCTCCGGTGCCAGCTTGGGCTGAGTATGTGATCGTGCCGAGCCTCAGGTACCTTGGAATGTGGGTGCGCCCCAAATCGTTGTCGAATCCTGGACCGCCCCGAGGAACAAGTACCGCCACCGCAGCAACATGCTTCCGGTTGAAAACCCCGACCGCACTGACGGCCAACCTCTATGCTCACCAGTGTGCGACTACTCTATCGTATGTTGCCTAGTACTGCCCGCCCCCGCAGAGCTGCCGGCGCAGGAGACGGCGACTGTGGCTCGTGTGTTCCACCTTCCTCAGTGTGCATTGAGTTGGGCGGGATGGTTCTCGATGGTCTTTTGGGGTGGTCCCAAGGTCCCGTCCGTCACCGTCCCGTCGTATGCTACGAACGCCAGAGCTGCCCGCTCAACGTTCGCGGACGTGTGGCCGCGCATGTACCGCAAGCTGCTGGATAGAGCCTATCTCGCTCTGCCTGTCGCAGCCATCTGCAAAGGACGCCTGTGGCCAGAGTTTTGGAAGATCCAGCTTGTTGCCAGTTCTTGAGGGCCGCGTCTCTTGGGTTCCCTGATGGTCGTCAACACATTCCGATGGCTCCTGGGTTTGACGAAGCGAGATGCATGCAGCAATCCGAGGCCCGCGAGGGCCGTAGGAGAAAGCGTCTTAGGATCCAGAGGACTTTCTCGAATGCCTTCACGGCGGCCCGTTTCTCGAGTCAGACCCTTGGGCAGCTGTTTGTTTGTAGGCTTCTTCACTGGTTTCCTGGACCCAGATTTTCCGCGCGGGTTTCTAACATCGAGTGGACCTTGGTCAGCAGTACCACGGCCAAGTTGGCGCTCGGACGCCCCTCTGGGTGGTCTCGACAACCCCCAGTTGTATCGTGGCAGTTGTCTCCCTTGGCAACGAAAGAACCTTTTGCTCCTCCTGCTCCTCCTGCTCCTCCTCCTCCTCCTGCTCCTCGTGCTCCTCCTCTTCCCCCTCTTCCTCCTCCTCCCTCGTCCTCCCTCCCTACATCCTCCTGGACTTGCCTTTCCAATGGCAGGCCAATCAATTACCGGTCATCCGCTTTGTCTCCCCCTTCCTCACTTCCCCCCCGCCCCAGGAATGGTCGCCCATTCAGGGAGGGGACTCCTCGACCCCTCCCAGGAGGGCCCCTCCTCCAGGCAGGGGCTCGCCTCGATGCCCCGTCCTCTCTCCCCTCCCCGCTCCTTTCGTGCTGGGGTCCCCTCCTTCCTGGCCTGCAATCCTTCCCTCCTCCTCCTCCTCCTCCTCCTCCTCCTCCTCCTCCTCCTCCTCCTCTCCTTCCTCGATGCCCCCCCCATCCCCTCCTCCTCTCCTTCCTCCTCCCTGGAACGGGCCCCTCCTCCCTGGACGGGCCCCTCCCTGGGCGGCGCTCCCCCGGCGCTCCCCCATGGCCGCAGCCTTTTTGGCCGCCAGGGGCCCATCGTCGCGGGGGATCGGCCTCGGCGGCTGGCCGCAGAGACTGCCCGCCCCCAGCCATGGCGGGCGCGGCCACGGCGGGGGCTCGGGCGGCGGCCGCCGCCGCCGCCGCCGCCGCCGCCGCCGCCGCCGCCGTCGTCGTCGTCGCCGTCGTCGTCGTCGTCCTCCTCCTCCTCCTCCTCCTCCTCCTCCTCCTCGTCCTCGTCCTCGTTCTCGTCCTCAGCCTCGTCCTTGGCCTCGGCCTCGCTGTCGTCCTGGCCCTCGGCCTCGTGCTCGCCTTCGGCCTCGCCGTCGCCGGCGCCTTGTTGTTCCTCGCTCGCCGCTGCCCCGAGGGTCGGCGGTTCCTGGCCGGCAGGGCCGCCGCGCCCCATTGCACGGCCCAGCGAGTGGAGGGCCAAGATCCACGAGGGATGCAGGAGGTGGTGGGAGGCGGGGTGCATACACCTTAGGCGATGCTTAAGAAAACTTGAATTTTCGGCCAGAGTCTCGATTATTCTTAACGTTGCAATGTAAATCCTAAGATTTGAACGGGAATGTAGGGTTTTTTATTCAAGTTCTGAGACTATGAATTTCTTAACCCATGAATTCTTAAGCATTTCGCGGGGTGTAGGGGAACGAACAATGACATAAACATGAAAACTCGGAGGTCCGCGCGGATTCCTCGGATCGGCGGTGGACCCCCCTCCTTGGCGCGCGGAGCGCGCAAGGGGCGGCGCCGGAGGCGCCGCCAGGGGGGGCCAGCGCGGATCCGCGAAATCCGCGCGGACCTCTGAGTTTTTGTATTTATGCACTTTTTGTTCCCCTGGTGCAGGAGGTGGAGCAGAGCGGACACAATAGACATTAAGCCTTTGCAGCTCCGCGCCGCTGCCTCGGATCTGCGCGGAGCTCCAGACAAAAAAAGGTGATGGAGGGGTGCTCTTCACCGCCGCCTCCGCGCGCCCGCCCGCTCTCGCTCCGACCTCCTCTCCCCAGCGACGGCTCGGGTAGGGATGCTGCCGTCTTGCAGGCTGCCGCTGTGCCCTCTGGCCCACCAGAAGCTCCACCCAAAGAGGTTCATCCCTTCATTCTCCTCCCTCCTGCCCCTGCTGCGTCCTCTGTCCTCAGCGCTCGTCCTCCCACTCCTCGTCCCCCCTCTCTCTTCCCCAGAGCTGAGGCCCCGGCCGCCGTCGCTGGCTCGGCATCCCTGCTACGTCCTCCTCGGGGTCGGGGGAGGCTAGCGAGAGCCCCCTGGGAGGGCCCGCTCACTGCCGTTCCTTGTCCTCTCCTCTCCGCTCGCTCGTTCGCTCGCAAATGGACGCCGCGCTATTTTGAACTCAGACATGGGGCGTCACGACAGAAACGATGACGGCCGTGTTTCCACAATTTCGGCGTCAGCAGGCCCGTCTCAGGCCCGCAAAACCGTGGCTCGGGATGGGGCCGAGCGGTCTGGGGCTTCTGTCACGGGCAAAATCATGACGTCGGATGTCTGGGGGAAATCTTCCCGCTCTTGCTGAGTGACAATTCGCGATGCTGTTACCGGGTTTGCCATAGCGCGCGTGCGGATTGCCTCTGCCGCGCTGCGAGGAAAGAGTGTCTGGGGGGAATCACAGGGTAACGCGCGGGGGGAGTGGAGCAGCTGGACAGGAAGAGGTCGAGGACAGAGCACCAGACCCCACACCACACCTCGTCGCCGTGTGCGTCAGGGCAGGGCTCCTCTCGGTGGCAAGCAAATGGGGGGGAAGTGAGCAGGGGCAGGCCTTCTCAGCAGGCGGCGGGACTCCTCCGAAGCCCCCGCGCCCTCGGAGAAGCACTTCGCGTCTGCGGGGGGCGGCCGAGAGGACTTCTCTCGGACTGCCGGGGGACCTCCGAGGCCTCTGAGGAGGCCCACCCCCTCTCGCGCCCCCCCTGGCTCGGCGCCCGTCCTCCTGCGCTGCACCCTGCGGGCGCACCAGCGTGCATCCAGGGATGACAGGTGTTTGCCGCGGACCCGGCGCGGACGCTGATCGGTGGGGCGGGCGCAGCATCCAGGGGACGCGCACGGCGCGTCGGAAGAACCAGCCTGGCTCTGATATGCAGAGTGAGTGGAGTGAGAAGACGAGTGCTGACAACAAAGGCCATAACGATGAGATTCAGCGATGTCATGTTGGCGGCCTTGGTGCCTATGCCTCCTTGGAAGGCATCTTCGGCATCATGGAATTCTGAATGGCCCCGGGCGGGCGTCGGGATGCTCAGGCACCCTCGGGAGGAGGGCTGGTGCATGCGGCACCTTGCTGTGGGAGAGGGGGGGGACCCCCTTCGAAGATTGCACGAACCTTACCAGAACCAATTGGCATTCTACCACGCCTCAACATGCCAAGGGGCACGGTGGCGTATGTGATTAGGAGGATTGAGTTCAGGCTGCCCTACTCTTGCCTACCGCTTGTCATTTGCGTTCGCTTTTCGCTCGCCTAGAGCTGTTTTTCTGCCGTTGCCTTCAGCTTGCTTCCAGCTGGCCTCCTTCAGGGATTCCAGTATCGTTTTCCTTTGTTCTGCATTCTGGCTTTCGGCGTGCCTCCCTCATCCTACGCCTCCGCTTCTCCTCCTCCTCGTCTCTCCGCTCCTCCGCTCCTCCTGGGGCAATGGTGCGAGGAGCCGCGCCGGCACCCGCAGCGCCTTGAGATTCCGAGGGCCACTTGCTGGCCGACGAGGTCGTCGTGCATTCAGCTCGCCCGCGAATCGAATCCTTCCTCCTCCTCGACTCCTACACCCTAGGGGATGCTTAAGGAAACTTCAGTTTTCGTCCAGAGTCTCGATTATTCTGAACTTTTCAATGTAAATCCCAAGATTTTGATAGAAGTTCTGGGTTTTATTCAATTTCTGAGACTATGAATTTCTTAACCCATGATTTCTTAAGCATTTCGCAGGGTGTACCCTATCATCACCTTCTCCCCCCTCCCTCCAGAGCCCTCTGCGACCTCGAATTATAGCTCCACGGAGCCCTCGGCACAGGTTTGCGTCTTCCCCCCTCCCTCCGCCCCCTCCGCCCCCCCCCTCCCTTCGCCCTCTCCTTCCCCCCCTCCTCAGCGCAGCTCCTCCCTCCCTTCCCCGCCTCCCTCCGCCATCCCGCCTCTCGTCCTCCTCGCCCGTCCTCTCCTTGCCTCCCCCTCACTCCCCCCATCACCCTCCTCCTCCTCCTCCTCCTCCTCCTCCTCCTCCTCCTCCTCCTCCCATCTCGTCCACCCTCGCTCCCCCCCATCACCCCTCCCATCTCGCCCATCCTCTCCTCTCCCCCTCGCTCCCCCCCTCCTCCCCTCCCCCCCTCCTCCCTCCGACGGCGGCGGCGACTGCACGGCGGCGGCCGCGGGCGCGGGCGCGGGGCAGGCGAAGCGCGTGGCCCTGGCTCTGCTCGGCGGGGCGGCCGCCGCGCTCGCCCAGGGCGTCGACCCGCTGGCCTTCGGCTGCGGCGACGGGCCCCACGCCGAGGCGCGTCGCTGGGGAGGTCGTCGTCGACGTCGTCGCCTTCGCCGCCGCCGTCGCCGTCGTCGTCGTCGTCGTCGTCGTCGTCGTCGTCGTCGTCGTCGTCGTCCGTCGTCGTCGTCCGTCGTCGTCGTTCGTCGTTCGTCGTCGTCCGTCGTCGTCCTTCGTCGTCCAACGCCGTCCGTTGTCCAACGTCCGTCCTTCGTCGTCCGTCGTCCGCCTTCCGTCATCCGTCGTCGTCGTCGTTGTCGTCGTTGTCGTCGTTCGTTGTCGTCGTCGTCGTCGTTCGTTGTCGTCGTCGTCGAGGTCGTCGTCGTCGTTGTCGTCGATGTCGTTGCCGCCCCCAGTCTTCGCAGTCGTCGCCGTCGCCGCCGCAGCTGCCGCCGAGGGCAGAGCTGAGTAGAGTAGAGTACGAGTAGAATGGAGTAGGAGCAGCATCGAGTGCATTAGAGCATGATCGGGTCCGGTGGGGTAGAGCAGAGTAGGAGTACAGTACGGCAGAGCAGCACAGGTTAGAGCAGTGTAGAGAGCAGCATTGAGCAGAGCAGGGTAGGGCACAACGGGGCCCTGGTAGGCTTTTGAAAGAGCTGGGGCGAGCCCGAGTGGCATCCTCTCACAGCCGGCGCTCGGCGCGGGCGCCAGCGACGGGTGCACCGCCGCCGCCGCTGACGTTGTTGCCGCCGGCGGCGCCGTCGCAGGGCGTCGTAGGGCGTCGTCGTCGTCGTCGCCCGCGCCCCCAAGAGGGGGTGAGCATGCTACGCATGGAATGAATTCAATGGAAATAAATTGCAGTGGATCCGTGAGTGGATCAATCTAGACTGATGAGGCTATGATGCCTCTTTTGAATCTGAGCCGGCTATGATGCCCGCTCGTGCCCACCCCGTCCCGTCTTCAGGGGCTTCGCATCCTCCTACGATGGCAAGATGGGAAGACGGGCCGCCGGTCCAACCCCCTCGAACAGTTTTTCCCGTGGAGACGGGGAGGATCCTGGCCCCTCGAGTCGGCTTCTGGACCCCTCCAGATGCGTATCTTTTTCCAATGGGGGGCGGGGTCCCGTCCCCCGCAGGTTTCCCCGGAGGGAGGGGGGGGGTTCAGGGGGGGCGGGTTGTTGGGGGAGGGGGGTCCCCTGGTTGCTGACTCCTCTGGATCCGATTTTCTGGGGGGGTCCGACCCCCCTGAAGCAGATTTGTCAGGCCAGCGACCGCGGATCGTGCTCCATCATCGATATGCATACAATAATGCACAAGGGGGCTATATATACACATATATATATATAGAGAGAGAGAGAGAGAGAGAGAACGAGAGAGAGACAGAGTGAAAGAGGGAGAGAGACAGGGATGCGGTGCAAATGCAGATGGATTTTTCACGTACGCATCTGTATGTATAGATATATGCGTATATGTGTGTATAATTATATTTATAAAAGTACATTTGTCTACAGCGAAAGTGCGTGTGTGCGTGTGTGAAAGAGATACTATGTAGTTGCAGCGTACAAATGAACTTGAGGGAGAGAGAGAGAGAGAGGGATAGAGAGAGAGAGAGGGAGAGAGGGAGACCGATATAATGGAGAGAACAAGCCAGAGAGAGGGAAGGAGGTAGAGGAAGTGAGAGAGAGAGGGAGAAAGAGAGCAGAGCTGAAATCACAGGTGTACATAACAGTGTGACCACAATGTGTCAGAGATGGGTCTATATAGTGTGTATGTACAGATAGAAAGGGACAGAGAGAGACAGAGAGAGAGAGAGATAGAGAGAACGAGAAAGAGAGAGATAGAGAGAGCAAGAGTGAACGAGAACACAAGCATCGTCTTTTGAAACGCTGCACATTGGCATAGGCGGTTATACGTCTGGGTGCCTCTGGGGCTGGACGTCATACGAGGGACTGGGCCGCTTGAGAGTTGAATTGGACACGCACTCACGCACATACATGTATATGTGTATGCTTTGTATATGCATATACACTTGTATGGATGCATGCATGTATGCATGCATGCATGCATGCATGCATGTATGTATATGTGTATGTATGTGTGTATGATTGTATGTATGCATGCATGTATGTATGCTTGTATATCTGTATGTGTGGATGCATGTCTGTGTGTGTACGTATGACTGTGTGTATGTTTGTATGCATGTATGTATGCATGCATGAATGTAGGTATGTATGTATGTATGCATATTGCGTGCATGTATGTATGCATACATGCATGCATGTATATATGGTTGTATGTATATTGTGCTTCTTTGGGGCTGTTCCCTTTTCAGCCCTCTTCTTAACAACACAATGCCGTGATCGTGTCGTCCTCTCCCTCTCTTTCTCCGCACGCGCACACATCTTTCGTTTTTCTCGCTCTCTTTTTTTTTGTTCTCTCTCTCTCTCGGTTTCCTTTCTCTCCATGTGTAGACATGTCAAGATACATAGGTTCAGGACGGCATCCATGCTGCCGCCAGAGGAGGAAGAGGAGGAGGAGGAGGACCAGTGTAAACTCAAGACTCATCAACGACGTTGGAAACAACTCGCCCTCCAAGCTCCCTCTTCATATGCCCCATACAAGAGTTCAACTTCACTGAGGGAATTGTCCCGTTGGGGGGCAACCGTGTGAACATCTTGAAGCATGCCAGACAATCGTTTTCATGACTTCAACGCCAAGATATAGCCTGACTTTTACGCCTTGGCGATCTGGAGTCGTGCCAGCTTCTGGGGACTTCAACACCGCGAATCAACGCAACTGGTGCGCTCTGACAACCCTGAACAGTTCCAAAGCATATGTTATGGTTAATTACCCATGAGAAGCTACTCCAGATTTCGTAATACAAGGGATGGGGGTCTGGACCCTCCAAGACAAGCCATTTCAGACCCCCCCCCCGTGGGAGAACCCTCCAAAAAATCGTCCCCAGACCCCCCCAGGCCCTCCAAGATAGCTTGGAAAAGACCCCTCCGAAATGAGACCCCCCTCCCTTTATTACGAAATCTGGAGTAATTACCCTTGAGAAGCTATGCAACTCTTGCACATTAGAAAGCGAAGATGCGCGGCGCTAAGTCGAGAGCCACATGCTGCAAACCACCCGCCCTCGATCCGCGGAGCTCTTGCAAACATTGTTCAAACCGATGCGCGCGGCGCTACGGCGAGAGCCACATCTGGCAAACGAACCGCCCTCAATCCGTGACACGCTCTGCAGTGTTTCAAAACATTGCGCTTTGCAGTGTTTTAGAAAACGAAGACGCGCGGCGCTACGGCGATGAAAACGATCCGGCCTCAATCCGTGACGTCCGTGCACATGTTTGAGATGTATGTGCGCGGCGCTGAGGCGAGATCCACATCTTGAGCACGGCCCGCCCTTAATAATCCGTGAACTTATTGCAGATGTTTGAAACACATGTGCGCTGCGTTGAGGCGAGAACCACATGGAAAACCACCCGCCCTCAATCCGTGAAGCTCTTTTGCAATTTTCCAAAACGAATGTGCGCGGCGCTTGTGCGAGAGCCACATTTCGAAATCCACCCGCCCTCCATCCGTGAAGCTCGTGCACATTTTTGACACGAGCGTGCGCGGGGCGTTGGCGAGAGCCACGTTTGGGAAGCGACCCGTCCTCCACCCGTGAAGCTGTTGACGATGTTCAAGCATCACGGTCACAAGTGGTGAGGATGTCTTAGACGAAACGCCTGGCCCGCCCTTTCGTCTGGCCTCGGGGTGCGACAGGGAAGAGTTATCTATAAGCAAAAGGAAAGGAGAAGGAATCTGAGGGGAGAACGGTAAAGAAGGGGGGGGGCAAGGCAAGAGGACTGGTATGAGAGGGGGGGGAGGTGAAGCAACAGGGTCGGAGTCGGGGGCGAGGATGAGGACAGGCGATGACGACGAGCATGGAGCGGGAGAGGAACGAGAAGCTGAGGGACGAGGCGGAGAAGGAGGAGGAGGAGGAGGAGGAACACGATAGGGGGACGAGAGGGAGGTGGGCGACTGCGAGGAGGAGCACGAGGATGAGGAGGAGGAGGAGGAGGACGAGGAGGAGGAGAAAGAGGAGGAGGAGAAAGAGGAGGAGGAGGAGGACGGAATGGCGGGCGTGACGCCTCCACGGTGGCCGGCGCCCCCCCCCGAAGAGGCGTGGGGCTCCGCCAAGCGGCAGATGCGCGGCATTTTTGAGAACCCGAGCGCGGGGTTGGCGCCGACGAGCAAGCAGATGCTGCGCGACGCCCTGGACGGGGCTCTCTCGCGTTGCATCCTCGGGGGCCTCTGTCTGCCCCCCCCCCCACCCCACACTGGTGTCCTCTCTCGTGCCCGCCGCGGGCTCGACGTGGACCTGGTGCGGGCTCGGCGCGGGCTCGACGCCGATTCGAGGCGGGTTCGACGAGTCTGACACTGATTCGACACGGATTCCGCGCGGATGTGCGCGGCGGGACAGATACAAGCCCCCGAAGATACAGCATGGGTTCTTTGTCTCGCCCGTGTTTGGGGTATGGTAGACGCGGGTGGGGCAGCTGTAGCAAGGTGTATTCTGATGCGGAGAAGGAGAGGGACGAGTGGAGTGGGGAGCGTGAGGATGGGACGGACGACAATGGAATGAGGAGGAGGAGGAGGAGGTTGACGAAGAGGAGGAGGAGAACCACTCAAACCCAAGACTCATCAACGATTTTGGAATAAACCCTCCCTCCAAGCTCCCTCTTCATAGGCCCCTACAAGAATTCAACTTCACTGAGGGACGTGCTCTGTTGGGAGACAACCGTTTTAAGTTCTTGAAGCGTGCCAAAACACCATCATCGGAATTTCAACGCCACGAGACAACCTGATTGTTGCACCTTGACGATCCGGAATCTTGCCAGAACGCCACTCCTTGGATTTCAAGAACGAGAATCAACGTAACTGGTGCGTTATGACAGTCCTGGGTCGTTCCAAAACACAAATTCTGGTACGTTAGCGATGGGAACCCGTGAAACTCTTGCTCATGTTTGAAATGATTGTGCGCGGCGCCAATACGAGAACAACATTCTGAAACCCACCCACCCTCAATAATCCGTTAAGCTCCAGCAGTTTTCCCAACCCTACTTGGTTGGGTATTCGTTTTGAATAGAGCACTGCGGTCGCGTCCTTCCCGCTTCCCTCTTGTCTCCTCTTGCCTTGTGCGTACCTCTTGTGTGTGCATCTTGCCTGTCGTACCGCGGGGTGTGCTGCGATGTGCGGAACTGTCGCCACGTTCGAGGGCTGCTGGTGGGTCCAGCGGAGAGAGGCACCGCGCAGATCTGAGCGAAACCGTCGCCACTTTCGAGGGCTGCTGGTGGGTCCAGCGGAGTGAGGCACCGCGCAGATCTGAGCGGTAGCCCTGGTGGCTGCGATCTGCGAAACCGTCGCCACTTTCGAGGGCTGCTGGTGGGTCCAGCGGAGTGAGGCACCGCGTAGATCTGAGCGGTAGCTCGCCGTCCCTGGGGGGCTGCGATTTGCGAAACTGTCGCCACTTTCGAGGGCTGCTGGTGGGTCCAGCGGAGAGAGGCACCGCGCAGATCTGAGCGGTAGCTCGCCGTTCCTGTGGGGCTGCGATCTGCGAAACCGTCGCCACTTTCTAGGGCTGCTGGTGGGTCCAGCGGAGTGGGGCACCGCGCAGATCTGAGCGGTATCCCCGGGGGGCTGCGATCTGCGACACCGTCGCCACACTTTCGAGGGCTGCTGGTGGGTCCAGCGGAGTGAGGCACCGCGCAGATCTGAGCGGTAGCTCGCCGTCCCTTGGGGGCTGCGATCTGCGAAATTGTCGCCACTTTCGAGGGCTGCTGGGGCTGCGATCTGCGAAACCGTCGCCACTTTGGAGGGCTGCTGGTGGGTCCAGCGGAGTGAGGCACCGCGCAGATCTGAGCGGCATCTCGCTGTCCCTTGGGGGCTGCGATCTGCGAAACCGTCGCCACTTTCTAGGGCTGCTGGTGGGTCCAGCGGAGAGAGGCACCGCGCAGATCTGAGCGGTAGCTCGCCGTTCCTGTGGGGCTGCGATTTGCGAAACTGTCGCCACTTTCGAGGGCTGCTGGTGGGTCCAGCGGAGAGAGGCACCGCGCAGATCTGAGCGGTAGCTCGCCGTTCCTGTGGGGCTGCGATCTGCGAAACCGTCGCCACTTTGGAGGGCTGCTGGTGGGTCCAGCGGGGTGAGGCTCCGCGCAGATCTGAGCAGGACCTCGCCGTCCCTGGGGGGCTGCGATCTGCGAAACCGTCGCCACTTTCTAGGGCTGCTGGTGGGTCCAGCGGAGTGAGGCACCGCGCAGATCTGAGCGGGACCTCGCCGTCCCTGGGGGGCTGCGAACCTCACGAATGCCGCTCGCAGAAGTATCTGCGCCCATGTCACGTCATCACCTCCGTAGAACGTCTCCCAAGCTACTCATGCCCCGCATTGCGCAGGGGTACGTCGCAAGGGTAATTCTTTTACGAATGTGCGCGGTGCTATGGCGAGAGGCACATGTTGAAAACGACCCGCCCTCAATACATTGAGCTCTCGCAGATGTTTAAGACGACTGTGCGCGGCGCTAAGGCGAGAGCCACATTTGGCAATCGAACCACCCTCGATCCGTGAAACTCTTGCAGTTTATTAAGACGAGTATGCCCGGCGCTACGGCGAGAGCCACATTTCGAAACCACCCACCCTCCATCCGTGAAATTGCTGCCAATTGATAAGCTCCAGGATCATAAGTGGTAAGGAAGTCTCAGGCGGAACGCCCCGCCCGCCCTGACGACCAGTCTCGAGGTGAGACAGGGAGGAGTTAGCTACAAGGGGAAGAGTTGTGGAGGAGGAGGAGGAGGGGGGAGGATCTGTGCGTTCATGGGTGGCCACGTTCTTTGATGCAGCGTCTTGAGGAGGGGTGAGGATGGGGCGCGAGATGGAGGAGGAAGAGGAGGAGGAGGAGGAGGAGGAGGAGGTCACGGGGAGGACGGCAGGAGGACATGAGGAGGACTGGAGGAGGACATGAGGAGGAGGAGGAGGAGGAGGAGGAGGAGGAGGAACAGGAGGAGGAGGAGGAGGAGAGGAGGAGAGGAGGAGACGAGGAGGAGGAGGGGGGGATGAAGAGGAGTGAGGAGGGGTAGGAGCAGATCGGTGCTCGAGGTCTCTGGGCGTGCTTGCCCCCTTCCTGGGCCTCTAGAGGCCGGGGCCTCCAGGGGGCTCCCGGAGGCCCTGCTCTCGGCGGGGGTCCCCTTGCCGTCCCTCTTGCCCCTTGCCTCCTCCGTCCCGCCTCCTGCCCGCCTCCCTCTCCCTCTCCCTCTCCTCCTCCCCCTCTCCCTGCCTCCAGTTGTGCTTCCTCCCTCCTCCCCCCCCTCTCCTCCGTCTCCTCTCCCCCTTCCTCCTCCCTCGTCCCTCCTCGTCGCGTCCTCGTCCCCGTTCTCGTCCACCTCCTCGTCACCCCTGTCCTCGGTCTCGGCTGGATCTGCGTCCTCATCCCCCTCGTCCCCCTCGCCTTCTTCTCTCGTCGTATTCACCGTCAGCACTGTAAGAAGTGGCAAGGCAACGTTGGCGGCGCGTGCATCCTCCTCGATGCGTCTACTCTGGCCAAAGCCATCCTCCTTACTACTCCTCCTCCTGCCAGTCTCCTCCAACTCCTGCTTGGATCATTTATCCCTGCGTTTCTGCCCCCCTCCCCCGTATCTGTCCTGATGCTCCTTCCGTGAATTCTCAGCCATCATTCTTCAGCCTCCTCATTCTCGTTCTCTTCCTTCCTTGTCCCCCTCCTCCCTTCTTCTCTCCTCCTCTTCCTCCTCCTCCTCCTCCTCCTCTTCCTCCTCCTCCTCGTCCTCGTCTTCCTCCTACTCCTCTTCCTCCACCTCGTGAGCCCTATTCACCAGATGTTGGCGCTCCAGTTTTCCATCAAAACTGATCGAGAGTTCGGAAAGAGCGATTTCTGTCGCTATTGGCAAGCCCACCTCCGGTTCGAACCCCGGGGGGGAGGGAGGTGGATTCCGTTACAGCTGGATCTAGCCCTAGGAGAATTCTATTAGAGCTGGATCTAGCTTTTGTTAGATAAAGCTTGATCGAGCCCTAGTAGAATTCTATTAGAGCTGCATCCAGGCCATCGTAGGATCCTATGATAGTTGGATCGAGCACTAGTAGAGCTGGATCCATCCCATGGTACAATTCCTCATAGTTTGATCGAGACCTCGTAGGATTCTGTTAGAGCTGGGGTCCTAGTAGCAGGATTCGATTAGAGCTGGATCGAGCCGTTGCAGGATTCCAGTAGAGCTAGATCGAGCCCTAGTAGGATTCAATTAGAGCTGGATCTAGCCTTTGTAGAATTCTATTGGAGCGTGGTCGAGCCCTAGTGGGATTTGATTGGAGCTGGCTCCAGCCCTAGTTGTAAGATTCGGTTCGAGCCGGTTCGAACCGGCCCTCCCCCCCTAGTCGAACTTCCCCTCCCCCTCCCCCCCACCCCGCCCCAGGTTTCCCCGAGGGGAGCATTTTTTCCAGTCGTGCGACTACAGATTGCGCTCCCTCAGAGCTCGGCAGCCTTCAATACATGCGCGATCTTCCAGTTGTTGAACGATGAGTGCCGGGTAGTCTACTCCGAGTTGGTCAAGAAGCGCAGGGCGATCTTGTGTGTGTGTGTGTTTGGTGTGATCGTGTGCGCGCGTTGTGTGTATGTGTGCGAGAGGGAGAGAGAGAGAGAGGGAGCGATATATATATATATATGTATAGAGAGAGATAAAGAGAGAGAGAGAGAGAGAGAGAGAGTGCGCGTGTGTGTGTGTGTGTGCTTCCGTGTCCGTGTGCGTGTGCGTGTGCGTGTGTGTGTGTGTGTGTGTGTGTGTGTATGTGTGTGTGTGTTTGTGTATGTGTGTGTTCTTTCTGTGTGTGTGTGTGTGTCCCCTCTCTCCTCCCTCCTCCCTCTCCCTTCTCCTCCACCTTCGCCCCCTCCTCCGAAGAGAGCACCAGGTCTGTGTCGTGCGGCGCTTTTTGACCGGGAGCTTGCAGACCCCCCCCCGCCGTTCTTCAGCAGGGCGGCCTTCCCCCAGGAGTGACGCGCTGTCCACGACAGCAGCCGCTTCCATGGGGGAGGATCTACTGGCCAGAGCTTACAGGCTAACTGCGAGTGCCTGGGACCAGGTGCTCGCAGGCGACGACGACGACGCCGACGACCACGACCACGACGACGCCGACGACGCCGACGACGACGACGACGACGTCATCGTCCGCGAGCTCCGGCCAGCGCCCCAGGGCCTCCGCCTCCTCCTCTTCCAGTCCCAGGGTCTTAGCGCTGGGCGCTCTTGAGATTTAGCCGAGGCCAGTCTCCCCTCGGCAGAAGCCCTTGGGGAGCGCCTCCTCCTCCTCGGCAGCAGAGGCGGCTCTCGAGTCGGCCATGGAGGCAGGCGACAGCGCCCCGGACCCCGAGGCGGGCGAGGGCCAGGCATGCCTACGAACTGGCGTTCGGCCGCTGTCTTGTCTTGGCCTCCTCCTCCTCCTCGTCCTCCTCCTCGGCCGCCTCCGTCCTCGTGGCCTCTCGCTCGGCCGCTCGCGTCTGGCTCCTCCTCCTCCTCCTCCTCCGCCGCCTCCGTCCTCGTGGCCTCGCGCTCGGCCGCTAACGCTTGGCTCCTCCTCCTCCTCCTCCTCCTCCTCTGCGCCTGCTCAACGCAGTCGTCCCCTAGCCCCCCGCGTCGCCGTCTCGGCGCCCATCCTCGCTTCCTCCGCCCCTCCAGGCCTTCCTCCTCCTCCTCCTCCTCCTCCTCCTCCTCCTCTGCCTCCTCCGTCTTCTGGCGCGCACGCGCCTCCTCGCCCTCTTCCTCCTCCTCCTCCTCCTCCTCCTCTTCCTCCTCCTCTCCTCTCCTCCTCCTCCTCCTCCTCCTCCTCCTCCTCCTCCTCCTCCTCCTCCTCCTCCTCCCCCTCCTCCTCCTTCTCCACCTCCTCCTCCGTCGTCTGTCGCGCACGGGCCTCCTCGCCTCCTCCTCCTCCTCCTCCTCCTCCTCTTTCTCTTCCTTCTCCTCTTTCTCCTAGTCCTACTCCTGCTCCTCGTCCTTGTCCTCCTCTTCCTCCTCCTCATCCTCCTGGTCCTCCTCCTCCTCCTCCTCCTCCTCCTCGTTTTCCTCCTCCTCCTTCTCCTCCTCCTCCTCCTTCTCTTCTCCTCGGCCTCCGCCTCAGCGCCTTTGGCTGGTGCCGAGTCGTTGTACACCTCTCATGACATTCGCCGATCTGAGGTTGCTAGTCCGCGGCCTCAGAGGCCTCGACTGCTTCCCCAGGGGCAGCTTCTCCTCGTCTCCAATCACCGCTTGATCACCCCGGGGCACGAGAACGGCCGCTGATGCAGCTGGAATCAAGAAAAAACGGAGCCAGACTTCCTCCGGAGGCGGCGGGGAAGTTGGTGCCAGCCCAGCAAAGCTTCGGGGGCCCCCAAACGGGGTGGTGACCACACCGTGCGGTGAGTCGGTCGGGATTCGGGGTCACAGCACGGTTTTGGGACTCGGGTCGTTCTCCGAGGACGTCTCGGGCGACTGGGGCTTCCAGGTCCCAAGACCGTGCGGTGAGGTCTTGGGAGATTTCGAGGTCACCGCACGGTGTGGCACCGCACCGTTTCGGAACTCAAAAAAAGCTGCAGCTCATTGCGCTGCCTCCAGCCGCCGCCGCCGCCGCCCCGCCCCACGGCAGGAGTCCGTGCAGGCAGGGCTCAAGAGCAGCTCCGCCCTCAGCGCCGAGGCCGCCGGGGAGTGCGGCCTTGGCAGGCGCCGCGCGCGAAATCGCCCAGGGCGCGGTGGGAAGTGATGGGGGGCGGGGAGCATGCGGAGCGTCGTGCAATTTACTAGACCAGTGGGCGAATGGATCGTCGAGGTGCACGCGCCCATATAGATTCCACCTTCGCCCCTTCACCCAGAGAAAGAAGATGCTCGGTTCGCCCCCAGGGGGGGAGAGTCGGAGCAGGAGGAAATATACGAGGGGGCAGAAGAGGGCCCAAGAGGTTGAGGGAGGGAGGGAGGGGAAAGGGAGAGGGAGGGGAAGGAGGAGGAGGATGAGGAGGAGGAGGAGGAGGAGGAGGAGGACAACTATTAAGACACATAAGCATAATCATACTCAGCTGAATAATAATAATACTACTACTACTAATAATAATAATCATAATAATAATAATCGTAATAATAATAATAGTAATAATAATAATAATAATAATAATAACAATGACCATAATCATATTGAAACCACTACGAGTCATACGATGAATAGTAATACTAAGACGAATAATGAGAAACACATAACGTCAATACCAACACTCCCCTCGCTATAGTTTGTCGCTCCGCCTTCACCCTACAAATGAGGGTTGACGGAACCATCTGACGATCATTGATTCGCAGCTATTAAGCGTTCAGTTAGCCAGTTGCGCGCGGTCGGCCTCCCTCCATTCGGCCGGTTATCCACATACGCGCCCATTTCTCTACGTGTACGCTTAACGGACACACTAGCCATGGCAACAAGTACGTCCTTCACGAGGCGGAATATGGGACCACGTCTAGAATAGCATGTATAGTAACGCCCGGACAAAGGGCCAGTTACCACAATAATATGTCCGACTGTTTGGTTAGCAGAAGAGCCTGTTAATTGAACACATGGTAATTAGGCAACTTGCTGGTAGCAGCCGATCGCTCCACCACGAGGGCACGAAGCTGTGCTTCCTGTCTCGAAGGTGGGTATACCTAGTAATGGAGAGCACGAAGAGAAATGCCACGATTCAAACGGAATCCAACATATCGTCTTCGAGCCCGAATCCCCTGAATGTGTTAAAGGCTCCCATTCCCGTTTTTCGCAAAATCTCTGAGAGTTTCAGGCTGTCGTCGGGAGATTAACGAGCGGACGCAGACAAGGCGGAGGCAACCGCCGAGTGGTAAGGGCCGAGCAACTTGGACGAGCAACCATTGCCGCTTAAGCGTCCGTCAAGCTTACGAGATCTCCTCCGATTCGGATAATGACATGGACGATCACGTACCCGTCTCGTCGGACAAAGCGGGATCAGTCAAATCGACTCCCCACCTGAACTGGGGAACGGTTGATGAGTCTCATTTGGGGGTGGCTCCGAGGCCTGCGGTCTCGGGCCATCTCCGAGATCGGCTCAGGAACCGTCACCGACGCCAGTACCTCGTGACGACTGTGTCGCAGAAGCATCGTGGGAAGATTTGCAACGGGGAGATGGCGGAGATGATGGCCAGCATGCCCGCGGCCGCCCAGCAGAGTTCCGAAGAAGGCAGCCGGGTCGAGGGTGCCCGCGGCGAAGCTGCCACGGGAGGCCGTCAGCCTGTCAGTCAGACCCCAGCTCGCGAAGCGGGCCAAAGAGGAGGGAGTACCTGAGGATAGCCAGGTGCTCGAACCAGGGGGCGATCCCGGGAGCTGTGCCCCCGGGTCGCCACCCTCACCAGTCAGTTTGCAGAGGACTTCGCGTGTTGAACGCCTCGTTCTCCGCGGGCCAGGGGCACAGGGCCCGATCGGCGTACAGTCGGGGCGCGGAAGAAGGGACCCTTTTCGTTGGGGAGGGGCTCAGTGTTCCTTGATTTTTTTCACAGTTTGCTTCAGGTTTTTCTCAGGTTTTCGATGGGAGGTCGAAGTGTATCTTCTGGAGAAAAGGGGCCTCGTTCCTTATTTTGGGTTCCTTAGGTCAACGCCCCGACGGTAGGACCTCGACGGCCCTGTCAGGCGCATCGTCGTTCTCCGCTCGCACGGCGCGCTCCACAGCATCGATTTCCCGCACCAATGAGTCATGCGACAACAAAGGCCCTGGTTGCGCGGCGTTTCCTAAGCACTGCTGCCCGGGATATCGAAGAGAGTGTAAGAAGGCAGTCTGTCGTGCATGCTTTGTCGGGCCGGCGCCGGCGGATGCTGTCGGCGGCGGCGGTGAGCGTCGACGAGGACGACGATTCAAGGGGAGGGGGGGTTCGAACCCCCCACCTTACATCCAGGCCGGCGCTGGCGCCGGCTGGCGGCGGCGGCGCCGGCGACGACGTCGACGACGGTGACGACGACGACCACGGCGACGACGACAAGCTCGACGACGGCGATGGCGACAGCGGCGGCGGCGGCGGCGGCGACGACGACGACGACGACGACGACGACGACGTCGATGACGACGACGGCGACGGCGACGACGACGACGACGACGACGGTGACGGCGACGGCCACGGCAATGGCGACAGCGGCGGCGGCGGTGGCTGCGGCGACGACGACGACGTCGACGACGACGGCGACGGCGAGGACGACGACGACGGCGACGGCGGCGGCGACGGCGACGACGACAACGGCGACGACGAAAACGGCGACGACGACAACGACGACGACGTTGAAAACGACGACGACGACCAGCACGACGACGACGGCAGCGACGACAACGACGGCGAAGACGACGACGACGACGACGACAGCGACGAGCACGACGACAACGGCAACGACGACGATGACGACGACGTCGACAACGAAGACGACGAAGTCGGCAACGACGGCGACGGCGACGACGGCGACGTCGACGGAGACTACGACGACGACAGTTACGACGACAATGACGGCGACGACGACGGCGACGGGGGCGACGACGACGGTGACGATGCCGACGACGAAAACGACGACGACGACGGCGGCGACGACGACCACGGCGACGACGACGACGAGCACGACGACGACGAATACGACGACGACGACGACGGCGACGACGACGACGACGACGACGGCGAGCACGACGACGACGAGCACCACGACGACGAAGACGACGACGGCGACGGCGATGAGCACGACGACGGCGACGGCGACGGCGACGACGACGACGACGACGACGACGGTGAAGACGACGACGACAACGACGACGACGAGCACGACGACGACGACGACGAAGACGACGACGCTGCCGACGACGGCCGCGACGACGACGACGCTGCCGATTATGGCGACGACGACTACGACGACGACGACAACGACGGCGACGACGGCGACGACGGCGACGACGTTCGCAGGGACAACGACGCCGACGACCACGAGCACGAGGACAAGCACGGCGACGACCACGACGACGACAACGACGATGACGGCGGCGACGACGACGGCGGCGACGACGGCGGCGACGACGGCGACGGCGACGGCGACGACGGCGACGACGGCCACGTCAACGATGGCGACGGCGACCACGACGATGACGAGCATGACGATGACGCCGAGCATGACGACGACGCTGACAGCAGCGACCACGACGACGGCGACGACGAACATGACGACGGTGACGACGACGACGACGACGACGGGGACGACGAGGACGACGACGCCGCCGACAACGAAGACCACGACGGCGACGACGACGTCGACAACGGGGACGACGACGACAACGACGAGCACGACGACGACGAAGACGACGACGACGGCGACGGCGAAAAGAGCGATGACGGCGACGACGACGACGACGCCGCCGACGACGACGATTGCGACGACAACGACGACGCCGACGACGGCGGCGACGACGACGAAGGCGACGACGACAATAACGACGACGAGCACGACGACGACGACGGCGACGGCGAAAAGAGCGATGACGGCGACGACGACGACGACGCCGCCGACGACGACGACGATTGCGACGACAACGACGACGCCGACGACGACGGCGACGACGACGAAGGCGACGACGACAATAACGACGACGAGCACGACGACGACGACGACGACGGCGACGACAACGACGTCGGCAGCGACGACGACGTCGGCGACGACGATGACGACGACGACGACGGCGACGTCGACGACGACGACGACGGCGCCGACGACGGCGACGACGACGACGAAGACGATGACGACGACGGCGACGACGACCGCAACGGCGACCACGACGACTTCGAGCATGCCGACGACGACGGGGACGACGACGACAACAAAGATGGCGACGACGACGACGACGGCTACGACGACGACGGCGACGACGGCGAGGACGACAATGCGACCACGACGATGAGCACGACGATGACGAACATGACGACGAGTATGACGACGACGGCGAGGAGGTCGACGACGACGACGAGCACGACGACGATGACGACGATGGCGACGAAGACGACGACGAAACCGACGTCGACGTCGACGACGCTGACGACGACAGCGGAAAGTTTGGAACTCACGCGACGCCACGCGAGTAATATAAGGTCGAGGACACAGGACTACAAGGGACCTTGTCGTCGTCGTCGTCGGTGTCGTCGTCGTCGTCGTCGTCGTCGTCGTCGTCGTCGTCGTCGTCGTCTTCGTGGCTATCGGCGCCGCGTCGCCGCCGTCGGCGCTGCCAGCCGCCGCCGGCGCCAGCGCCAACGCCGTCGCGCCGGCGCCGGCGCGGGGGGGGGGGGTGTTCGAACCCTACCCCCCCGGCGCCGGGTGCGGGAGGGGTGTGGGGAGGGGGGGGAGGGGAGTTCCCCAGGTTCTGTTCGACGGCGCCGAATGTTCGGGGGGGGCGTGGGGGGACCTAGGGTCAAACGCGCCGCCGAATGTTCCCAATGCAAGCGCCCGCGAAACGTGTTTCCTCCTTTCGTCTTTCCCTCCCTCACCCCCCTCCCTCACCCCCCTCCCCGCCGCCCCCCCCCGCAAAACCAATGAATCCTCTCCTGCCCCCCTTTTCCCCCTCCCACCCTATCCCCGCCCCTCCTCCCGTCCTCTCCCTCCTTCCCCCCCCATCCCCTCTCTCCACCCCCTCCCTCCATCCATCCCCTCTCCCCATCCCCTCCCTCCCTCCCCCCCTCCTTCACAATTACACAATATGAATACTACTCTCCTCCATCCCCTGATGGCGTGCGGAAGATAGCGTGCACCCCTCCGCGTATTGTTCTTTTACACAGGATTTCCCGGAGTTGGGTTTTCGCTTGTTTTTTTTTCAAAATGATGCTGTCGCTGAGGCTTGGGCTTCATTTTCGGGCTTCCGCTCGTTCCGAATCGTGCTCCCGCTGCAGCGCTTGCCTCATTTCCGTGCTTCGCTCGTTCCGAATCGCGCTCCCGCTGCAGCGTTGGCCTCATTTCCGCGCTTCCGCTCGTTCCGAATCGTGCTCCCGCTGCAGCGCTGGCGTCATTTCCCGTGCCATGCCACGGCATGCAATGCAATGCTAGGTTGCGTTTCGCTGCGCGATACCATGCCTTCAGTTGCAGCTGTCACATCCAGTGCTTACGTGCCACGTCATGCTATGCCATGCTACGCTTTGATCTTCAACGCCATGCTATGCAATGTTATGTTCGGGGCCGCTGTGCGATGCCATGCTTTGCGTTGCAAAGCTTTGTGATGCAATTCTTCACTACGCCACTCCACGCCATGCTGTGACATACTACGCTTTGCGGTGCTCTTCTACGCCATGCCACGCCGTGCTCTACAATGCATCGCGTACCCTGTCGGGATCATTGCCCTGCTCGACATCCGACTGTGCGAGTAGAGAGGGGATCTACGCGATGGTAAGGGATGGGAGGGAGGGGTAGAATGTCAGATATGACGCGAGCGCTCCTAGCTTGCCCAACCCCCTCCCCTCTCCCCCCTC